AACATTCAAATGAGTGTGTTGTGTTACAACTGATGTCAAACTGAAAAGAAAGCCATGACTAAACTGAACACAAACATTGACCACAAACGTTAAAAAGGGTGACTACACTTTAGCAGGTGAGCCTTCTCACATGCTAGAAAAAAAACCAGTTTTAAAGCACTCTTAATGACAAGTAATTAACCAGAGAAACAAGACTACAGCAAGACAGGGAAGAAAACCACTAAAATCCCAAGCTTAAATCTTGTCCTCACAAAGACAGAATCTGCCTCACTGACAACTAAATGCCCTGAAGGACAGTCCTGTCTGTGTGGGAGCCACGTCACGTGTGCGTAAGAACAGAATTTAGCTTTAAAAATACATGTGTTGTAATAAACTGGCACAGGTAAATGTGTGCTTCAGAGATTACCATCTTGAGCTAGATTAGGAAGAATTATTTTCTCCTCCTATGGAGCACTGGAAGCCTTATTAGAGCTTGCCTTCCTGTGCAACATCTGGCAGGGACTGACACAAGCTACCTGGCTAAAGGAAATGTCAGCCTAGTGACACATCAAAAACGTTTATCCCTGTGTCACAAAAAGCAGGGCTGAACAACACTACCTTACGTACACTTCCCATTTCATTCATGCCCCTAATGTACATTTAGAGTACAAATCACTTTAGGGAGCACGAGGTGCCCTGCTTGGAGAGCTTTAGAGGCTGCAGCGCTGTTGCACAGCCCGGTGCCAACGCCGCTCCCCGGGCGGGGCTTGCGGCCCCACACGCACCGGAGCTGGGCAGGGCAGCGCCGCTCCAGCCCCTCCGGCTGCGCCGGCACCTGCAGGCACCAGCTCCAGGAAAGAACAGCAGAAACACTGAAAAACATTCGGGAAATTTCCTGCTAAGAAGGAAGAGAAATATCCAGCGACAAGGCTTGAAGGTAAAGGAATGGCCGCTCCCTGAAAGCTCAGGAGACCTTGCAGGGAGCAGCACTAAGCTCCAGCTGACTCTCACATTACCCCTCGTAGCACGTATGCTCATAAACAACACGCTGGTAGTCCTGCTGCAGCAGCCCAAGGGCTGGCAGAGGCGTGCCCAGCTCTGACACCGGCTCCCCGGAACAGAGCAGGGACTGGGACATCCCCCTCCTCCTCCTCCTCCCACAGACACCACCACACTGCAGCCCAGGCACTGGGAACCGTCAGCAGGAGTTACTGGCAATGCATACACCCAGGGAAAATCTACCAATCTATCCAGACCTTTTCAAGTAGGAGCAGAAAAGCAAGCTCTTAGCTATTTTTTTTGGAAGAGGGAAAATGAGGGCTAAACCTACTAAGAAAAATGAGTCTGTTTATGTGAAATCAATTTGGATCAAAGCTAGATGACTCTCAAAAGAGAAGGAAAAAGATGTACAGATAATGGCAAAACAAAAGAGACAATTTGCTCATTTTTTTGTATTTGGAAGAGAAAGGGGAAAAGTAAAGGCATTTCACAGAAGTTCACTTTTATCTGCATGACCTTCTACACATGAAAAACAACACAGACAAGCCCAAGCCCTTACTGAAGAGTAAGGAAATCCCAAAGACTTCATCAAATGAAACCATAGAGAGCCCAGAACCAGCCAACACACATTCTCCACTTTATTCTTGGTTTGCTGTGTGCTTGCTCATCACTGAAGTTAATTTCAGAAGAATAATGCCACAGTTGAGAGGGCCACAACACACAGAGCATCACCAGACAGTATCAGAAGGCTTCACCCCATAGAGTAACTCCAACCTCATCAGAAGGCTCCAGGGCTGCCCATGCACAGCAACATCCCATCACCTGCTGCAAGGTGAAGGCTGCAGGGATCTGCCCCTCTCGTTCCCCAGCCCAGCCTTTATGCCCTCCTGTGGATGCACAGCCCCTGTGTGCCCTCTGCTCCCCTGGGGGATTGCTCAGTGCCCCGGGCACTCCATGGCTCCTCACCCTCAGCCCTGCCTGGCACAGCTGCAGCCCAGTGGGGAAGAGGCTCCAGCCCCACTCCCAGCTACCACAAGCTGTGCTCCTCAGGGTAACACACCTTTCTATGCTTTCCCTTTTTCCAATCAGCAGCATAATCATCTTGTGCAAGAACGTAACCTATTGACACAAAACCAGCTGTGGATATTCAAGCAGTTTAGACTTAGAAAACACTAAGATCAAAACTCTGAAGAGCACCTTAGGAAGACTTAAAAAAGAGAATATATGTAATTATAACAACTAAAAGGATTTTTGCTATACTGAAATAGATTCAAACTGCAAATGTTTATTACTTCTAGTACTAAAATCAGCAAAACATGGAATCAGAATTCTGTAAGGAACTGGCCATCAACCTGAAAGCACCATGGCTCCCTCTGCTACAACAGGGGGGCACAGCTTCCTTTTCCCCTCCGAATTCCAGCCACAGCCCATGCCTTTGCACCAAGGCAATTTGCCTGAAATTTCCCTGTAACTACACAAGGAAACTGATGGGAACACACCTTTACTGGCATTAGCCCGTGACCAGATCAGATTTAGAGAGACTGCTAAAGTAAGAATTTGGAAAAATCTCCAATAACATTTATGGCCGAGATGAAGAAGGGAACAATACTACTGCTCTGACTAGGCTGAAGCCACTTAAATAAATTTAACTTCAAAACTACTTTAAGGAAGTTTCATTTAGTCTTGAAAGTCTTGGCTCCTCCATAGCTTACACTGAAACTGCTCTTGTCCAGCGTGGGAAGCAAAAAGGCCCAAATACAACATTTTGTTTAAAAGATTTGAAGCAAACCTTAGACAAGGAACACATTTCCAAGCCAAGAGGACACATTTCTCCTTAACTCTGCTCACAGATGAAGCTGCCTCAATGATTTGCACTGGAATGGCTGTTTCAGTAGGTGTGACACACAGAAGTGAACTGCTACCTCCTCATGCAGCAGTTCAGATGGAGTAGAACCAAACTTAGATCCTAAAAGCAGCACTTTAATAATAAACTCCATCCCCAATAGCAGCCAGGAGAAAGAATCACAGTTTGAGGCTTTTTCAGGTTTAGTGTTTTTGCACTACAAGTGCCATCCAAGTGCACCTTTCTACAATTATAAAATTGCCTCAGAAGATTCTAAAGATCTCTCCAAGAAGCTTGCTCTTCAGAAACTACTCAGTAGATTTCCAAGTGCTAAAACCCAAAACAACCTCCACAAAAACCAGCCGAGCAAGTAAAAAACTGCAATTCTTTTCAGGATGTCTGAAAACAGAGATCCTGGGAAAGGCATTCCCTGCATTCATGGACAGGCACCATGCATGTTCTGCTTCCCAAAGATACCCCACAGCCCAGCTCTGAAGTGTGACCCTTTCCCTTATGGACTGAACCCACAGAAAAATCTGTATCAAATTTGCCTCAATCCATTTTCTCAGCTAAATTCTCCCAAATGTGCCTCCACTCCTTAACAGAGCACATCAAGGACCAACCTGCTCCTGCATGAACAAAGTACAAAAACTACAGCTTGAAATAGAGTGCAATGCAAATGCTGAGGAATTATACACACAGTCTTTCCTCGTTTAGCCTAGCATTGCAGGATTTGCCCCATCACACACACAACCCATGGCATATTGGTAACCTGGTTACTGGCACACATTCCCCACCTGTTACCAGCAACCTGATGATGACCTTGTTACAGCTTCTCACACTGAAAATTCCTCAGATCTATGAAATCACACCAAGTGTGGTGTTTCATTTTAAGCATCAACAGTCAACAGATCGCATTTTTGTGCCAAATAATAATAAAAAAATCTGTTTAAAGCAAACTTGTGAAAATATTTATCTCAAGTATTATTAATTGCTTAACGTACCTTCAAGTCTGTAACTGTACAAAAAAAATTCAATTAAAGTAACCTTTCAAATATAAGGGAAAAGTAATCTCGCAGTAAGAGCGAAAAGAGTTAAATTCAGAGAAAAGTAAATTTTCACACAACTTTCACCGACCTCAAGTAACAACCACTGAAAGATCTTTATCAGAGAGCAGCATGTTATCAGAACTTGCCATGTGGTCCTAAGCAATGGCTTATGTTAAACGCACTGACTTGAGGCTGCCCTTTACCTGCAGTGATTCCTGTGGGCCAGAAGCAGAGCAGCCACAAGCACCTTTAGGCTCTGACACTGTTTACTTATTCACTGCTGTGTTCCTCGCAAATTCCCATAAAAACACAGAAAAAGATAAGGGATCCCTAACCGCGACTCCGGACCCGGGCACTCCAGCTGGGAATTAACGAGCAATTGACACGGCACCGCTAAGACTCCCTTTCCACAACAACAGCCCACACCGCGTGTATATTTACCTACAATGTATCATAACAACGCGGCCGCTGCTGCTGACAAGCTGCTGGAAACGCACATCAGAGGCAAGGCAGAAACAAGCTGTGCAGCAGCCTGGGAACAGTAACACTCCTCACCACTTCATCGCGGGGACTTTCTCCACAACAGTCAGCTCAAAACCCACGTTTTTTAGTCCCTCATCGTAATTTTCTTCTCACAAAAAAGTTTAATCTGAGGTAAAAATACATTTTTCCTCATTCACTCATAGGTGGATAGGCCCTAATGTTCATGTTTAAATGCAATGGGAACACAGAAGTCAGTGAAGCTGTAAATGTTTAAAATAAAATCTGTAATGGAAACTTATTATTGACCATCCTCCCAGAAAAAAAAATAAAAAGCTTGCAAAATGCTTCTGACTCAAACTATTTATATTAAAAACTGAAGAGACTGCATTATGTTAGATTTTAGTTTTTGAACATCTTTTCTTGATTTACAGCAACCTCTGACTCCCGTGCAGTCAATCCATTAAACATTTAACACAGAAAAAAATCAGACATCAAGGGAAAAAATTAAAACCCAGGAAATAATAATTAAAATTGTATTTAAAAATCTGTTAAGACACTCAGCTATTTTTATCATTTCCTAATGCTTAGCACATGGACACAAGAAACAAGGAGGAGGCACCACAAACACCAGATTAAAATATACCCACCCCTAGCTGAAAGCTTTTTGGTGTTGATAATTTTGGCAGCGTACTCTTGTCCTGTGGTGATTTTCATACACCTCCTCACGACGGAGAACGCCCCTCTGGAAACCAAAACCGGGCAAAGTGTCAGTCCAACTGAAACACTCCACTGCCATTACCAGCTAACGGGCAGCACGGAGGGGTGTGATGTCGGCAGAAAAAAAAAAAAAAAAAGGGATTTTCTGGTTTTCTGTCAGGGACGGTCAGCATTGATTTTATTCAGCTGAACAGTGAACTCCGCGGGGTAGAAGCCGTGTGACCAATCCCGCTAGCTGGGGCGGAGGGCGGGCGGGTTTTCGCTGTGGCCGTGCCGGCGCACCGCGGGGGGACACAGGGCGGCGGTGGCCGTGTCCCCCTCAGCGGTGACACCGGGGGGGCGACACCCAACATGGCGCTCAGGGCAGCGCCTCCCGCCCCGCCGCTGGGGGGCGCCCGCCGCGCTCCGACACCCCTCACACACCGAGACCCCCACGCCGCGACAACCTAAGAGCTAAAAAATAGCAATGAATAATAAATAACAATAAATAGCGGCACGGGGGGTTGAGGGCAGCTCCCTGCCACCCGCCCAGAGCCCGTCGCCGCCCCGCGGTCGTATGGCTGGAGCCCGGGCGCTCCCGCGGGGCTCTCGGCAGCGGCGAGGGGGCCCGGGGCGCGGCTCCCCCCAGGGATCACGCACCGACCCCCGCAGCCCCCGGTGCCTTCACCCCCCGTTCTGTCCTTACTTTCCGAGCTCCTCGAAGAGCTGGTACTCGTCGGTGAAGCGTGTGCAGGGGGTCGAGGCCATCATGAGGACGGGCGGCCGCCGGTGACTCCGGCGGCCGTGGACGGCGAGGCGGGGACGGCGGAGGGGCTGTGAGGCGAGGCGAGGTGAGGCGAGGCTCCGCGCCGGCTTCTTCTCCTCCTCTTCCCCGCCACCGCCTCCTCTGGTGACGGCGTTGCCTCCGCGCCCTCCTCCGGTCTTCCCTCTCCCCTCCCCTCACCCTTTAGGGAAGGAAACAAACAAATATTTAAATAAATAAATAAATACGTATCCTCCTTGCTTCCTCACGCCCGCCAGGGAAAGCTAGTGGCAAAAGGGAAAGCAAGACCGGGGCGGGGGGCGCGGCGCTCCCTTCCCTCCCCTCCCCTCCGCCTCAGCGCCTTAGCCCGTCCGCCGGCGCCGTGCCTCCCCCTAGCGACCCCGGCCCGCGACTCCCTGCCGTCGGGGAAGGCGCGACACCCATGGGAGCCTCACACGGGCGGGCGGAGTACGGGAAGAACCTGCGCCCTGTCCTCCCGGGAGCGAACACCGACCTTTCCCCGGGCGCTGCCCCGGGACGGCGGCGGGAGGCGCCCCGAGGGAAGCGGATGCACCTGCGCGCGCCCCCCCTCCCACCCCCGCCCCTCTCCTCAGTGGCCGCCTGTGACGTCACGCCTCGCCAGAGCGCGAGGGAGGGCGCGCGGCGGGAAGCGCGTGCGGGTGCGCTCGCGGACAAGGGGCCGTGACGTCGCAGGGGCCCCCAGGGGCCCCCGCCGCGCGCGGGGAGGGAGGGGAGCGGGAAGGGACGCGGAGCACCGGGCACCTCGTGACGTCACAGATGCTCCGGCCGCGCGCGGGTAGGGCGGGGGGGGGACACACACACGCCGGGCACCTCGTGACGTCACGGCCGCCCCGGCCGCGTGCGGTGGGAAGGGGGGGGGGGGCACAGGCGCATCGCGCGTGCGCCGGGTCGCGACCGCCACCGCCCGCCCGGGAAAGGGACCCGCGGGAGGGACCGCGCACAGGCAGCGCCCTGCGCGACAGGGAACGGCCCCGGGCAGGGCTGGGACACGCGTGAGGGGCCACAGCAAACAGCTGAGCTGGCTCGGCCTCTTCCACAGAAGCACCGAGTATCTGGAGCTGGACGGGACCCGCAAGGATTATCCAAGTCCAACTCCTGGCCCTGCACAGGATCCCCCCCGAATCCCACCTGTGGCTGAGAGCCTTGTCCAAATGCTCCTTGAGCTCTGGCAGCCTCGGGGCCGGGAGCACTTGAACACGGAATGAGGTCGCCGGGCCACCGAAGGGCATTTGGTCCTTTCTGATAAACCTGAATTGCCTTTGCTCCTTTCTGATCAACCACGTGGTGCTGAGCCAAGCAAAGAGCTCCGTGCACACCTGCACAGAGCACAAGCGGCAGCCAGGCTACAGGCAGAGCTCCACTACAAAAGGCAGCCTGGAGCATCTCCATGCTCATTTTAAGTGAGAAGACACATGCACAAAACACACCCACAAAGGGCTTTACATCAAACCTCTGGAGTTTCCAGAATCAGCATCCTGAGCTGTGGTCTCGTATGAAGAGTTAAAACTGCCAGCCCTTCCCAAAAGGAACAGGAATGTACTACAGGAATGCCAGAGCCTACACAGTTAGGCAGTTTTCCTCCAGGTGAGGTGAGGCAGCTGTGCCTTGTACAAACACACTGAATTCGTGACATAAAGGTGGCAGCAAAGGGACTTTGGAACTCGTGAGCAAGCACAAAGCATTTACTCCATCAGTTCCTCTCCGGGGAAACGCTCTGTGCAGCAGGGCCAGTACAGACCAGAGGATGTTTCCATTCAGACCAGCAGGAATGGATCTGTTCCCATCTCTGGGAAGGGAATGTGCATTACAGGCACTTGGAACAGCAGCACATGTCCAAATCCCCTCAAACTAAAAAGTATCATGGAAGCTGTGCATCCCTGGGTATAATACTTGCATGGGTAACTCAATCAGCAGTGGTGAACCCCTGTATTTAACAGGACCTGGCTGCCAGGTTCCTCATCCACAAGTACACAGACACAAGAAAATGAAACATATTCCCCTGGCACTCATCACTTTGTCCCTCATCGTATATTCTGAGAACAAGCATTTGGACCAGGTATCTGCTCTTGCTGTGCCATACAGTTGTAATTTAATTTTAAGAATATTTAGAAGAAAATATTAAATTCTGTTTCAATTCACTTTCTTGTTGATGTTTTTGTGGTTTTTTAAAAGTCATTACAAGGATGAGTGATCCAAACTGAGATTTTTTTTTAAACTTTTTTTTTTTTTCACATTTCCCAATCTGAAAGAAGACAAGAACGGGCCAAGGAGTTCCTAGAGAAATATAAAGCATGAATTTTATCACAGGAGGTAAGTAAAGAAAGTATTTGTTTACAAGATTGATATCACAGGAATAGATGAATTTCTGCAAGAGAAACACTAGGGAACTGATGAGTAGCTTGGAAACACTTTGGCTGAGAGGGCTTTTTCTCCTTACAACCATCATGTCTTAATTGTAGTTCCCTCTTGAGCTGAAGAAAACCTGAATTTGTAGCTACAGTTTAAACATTTGGTACATTCCCCGAATTCCTCCCGAGCAGACCAAAGCAGGCAGGATGGCAGCCAAGGATCTGGTCCATGAGGAGAAATTCTAAATGCTGGGTAGAGTTTCAGATTTCCATTAAGGCCACAGAAACAATTTATCTGCGTTGGAGAATGTCAGATCTCAACAATGAACCCAAAAATGCTTCAAAGCCATCCCAGGGCACATTTTTCTTCTCCAAAAGGTTTTCAAGAGAGCAGCTCAAGCCTGTAAGAAACTGAAGTTGTTCACTTAAAATTCCTGAAGTTTAACAGAATGTTACAGATAAGTGGAATGAATTATATATTCAACTTTGTACTGAAACATTTATTGTGGCAAAGGAAATAGTATTAATTTTAAGAGTTTGCTATTCAGTGAGGTCTTTGCTTTGTATGGCTTTAGACAGCTGAAGTGAGTTTTTTGTTTTATTTCTGACCTTGCAAATACAGATTTTCCATTTTCTTATGTTTTGCAGGAGTCAAGTGAGCTTCCAAGAGGTCAGTGTGTACTGCTCATTTTGAGGGCTTTTAGGAATGACGTATTTTTAATTAGTGACCAAGTGCCACAGCCACTGACAGTAGAGGCCTGGGCAGGAAATGCCCAGAACACCTGAGGAATCTGGGGTTTAGATAAATTCTTTATGAGCAGATGGTCTTTAACAGAAATCTTGGTCCTCCCCAGGGCTGCACATATTCCTGGGGCAAAGCACTTGGGGAAACTAATGGACAGCACTGGAGCAGTCAGAGCTACATCATTGCAGTAAAGCAATGAAAAAACCAAAAATGTCTGTGGAAACCGGGAACAGGGTAAAAAAAGAGGATGAACTGGGAGAAACCACACAGAAAATGCATGGGTTTGCAGTTCACTGCAACAGCTGGAACTGGAACCTTGTCCTTGGATAAAGTATGGGAAAGCAAAGTGACAAACATGGAGGCCTTGAGAATCTTTCAAATCAGGGTGAGAACACAAATCTTGGTTTCAATAACAAACCACAGGTATTGAAAACAAAAGGAGATTAAACATTAATTAATGTTTAATCTGTGACCTATGATGAGCTAGGGTTTCGCAATATGTATGAGCTTAATTAACACTGTTATAAAAGGTGCCTGCTGGATCAATAAATTGGAGTTCGATGCTGATCAGAGGATGGGCCGTCTCCCTTCCCTTCAATATGTCACGCTCTTGCTTTGCAGGAGGCCAAAGGTTCTCTCTGGCCTAAAAAAGCATCACTCCTGACAGGCTGGGAGGCACTGCTGGCCACTTAACTCCAGCCTCTGGAAGCACCAGAGGGAGAAAGAAATGAAAAATTAATGCCTTATTTTTTATCTTCCTGGGTGGGGCAAGGACAAAAATACAGGCCTGAGCAAAACAGATGTTTGCATTTGTTTGCACTGAAAGAAACAAGAAATGCTCTGATAGGATTCAAGTTTCATCTCAGAATTTTGAAGAATACATTTTTCTTCTCTCTTTTTTAATTTGAGGTATGCTTAATTAAGAATACTCCTTTAAAATAATGCTTTTGAAGAGAGTGATTTCTTTTTAATGCACTTGTCCTGGTTATTTTGAGCTAAGTAATTTTTAATGAATTCTTAGCAAACAAAATATTCCATTGTTTACACAGTTCTTTTTACAAGCAATTAGAGTCAGTAACACTCCATGAATAAGACCTTTTGCCACTGGCTTTCATGACATGGATTTGAAATATAAACATTACTAAAAAAAAATAATTTCAAGCTGTGAATCAAAGCTGTTTCCTGGGGCTTGGAGCAATGTGGTCAATGGAAGGTGTCCCTGCCCACGGCAGGAGTTTGGAATGAGATGAGCTCTGAGATCCTCTCCAACCCAAACCATCCTGTGATTCCATGATTCTATGATTTCTGGAAGTTTGAGCACCAGTCTTGAACCCTGTGTGAGTGGCTGACTCAGAAAGCATAAATGGTTCCCTTTCCAGAGTACCCAGGGCTTTGTTACTTCTGGTTCAGTGGTGAGAGACTCTGGGAAATATGTGCATTTCTCTGGCCTGGCAGGACTCATTTTAATATTACCTTGCCATGTAAACCCAAGAGAAAGATCTGCATGTGGAAAAGCTGGCTGTGACAACCCCAATACCATCAAGGTGAGGAACTGAGTGAGATCTTGGCTGACAAACTCCATAGGGGCTGCCAGGGCTGCAAGGGAAGCAGGAAACACAGGAGCCCACATTGGCATGCCAGCACTGAAATTGTGCCCAGCCTTCCTTCTGGATGCTTTTGGTGAGTGCTTTGTAAACACTTCCAGGCATTTCCTAAAAGAAAAATGTGAGAGGTGACTGTAATTTGATCTATTTGGAGCATCCTTTCAATGAAGGAAGCTGAAGAAGGAAATGAATATCAACACCCCCCGCTTCCCATCCACAGGCATTGCCAGCACTGGAGATGAAAAGGCTTTCCAAGAGGAGGGAGCAGAGTTAACCAGAACTGATAAAGAGGTAGGCTGGAATTTTATGGGGGAAATAAGTCAGTGTTGAGATTTTAGATAGGGGAACGGTGGTCAGGGAGGTGAGAAAAGGGAAATATTTTAACGACAAAAGTTTGGTCTGAAGACAAAAGACTTGGTCAGAAGAGGAAGATCTTAAAGAAACCAGTGCATATGAGACACTGTTGACTGGAAAGAAGCTGAGTTTAAAAAAAAAAACACAATTGTGAGACTGTGGAGGTTTTAAACCTAAGTAGAAGAGAAATGCAGCAGCTGGTTTCATGACCCAGACAGCAGGGAGTGCTCATGGCAAGAGTAAAACAGACATAAGAATAAAGATATGCACAACTTCCAAACCGTGTCCTTAATCACCACACCTACCTGTCTTTTCAATTTCTACAGGGATAGTGACTCCAACACTTCCCTGGGTAACCTGTGCCAGGGATGGACAACCTTTTCCATGAAAAAAAATTTCCTAATATTTAACCTAAACCTCTTCTGGTGCAACTTGAAGCCGTTTCTTGTTGTCCTGTCTCTTGTTCCTCCTGCTTTCATGGTGCCAAGGGCTGTTGTAATGAGCTCTACCATTCTCAGTTCCATCAGTTCTCTGCCTACATCCTCTCCAGACACACATGAACATGCAAAGTCTTTGCTTCTGGTTTACATTTGGGTCAGGTGAGTGAAATAAACACCATCTCCTCCAGCTGACAGAAACTTCTTTCCCATACTGATTTCTACCTAGAAATTTTTATTGATTCTGAACTACAGAGAGGTCTTTCCATTTATTAAAAAGAAAAAAAACGCCAAACTTGGTAGAATCCAGAGGAAACAAAAATATGGTATTTCCTAGATAATATCCCTGTAGAGAAGTAGCTTTTCTGTTTCTCCATTAGAGAACCATTTGCCAGAGATCAATTAAAGTGTGATTGGGATACAAACTGAAATATCAATCCAGCAGGAAATGGCAACAGGTATTAATAGACAACAGACACACATTAGTTACATGCACTCACCAACAAGAAGGCTTGGGTTGCCTTATCTTGGGAAAAACAAGGATCAGCAGGATACACAGGGAATTGCAGTAGATGTACCATCACTGCAGGCAGGCAATGCAAAGGGTGCAAAAAACACTATCACAGAGGGAAAAAAACTATATCAGACACAGGAAAATATTATTCCCATATTGAAATATAATTTAAAGGACATTTCAAAGTATTTTAAGGTTTTTAAAATGTAAACAACAGTTAAAGATTTCTATGGGGTTTAAAGTGTTTTAGAAGTTTTGAAGTATTGCAAAGGCACACTTTTATACCAGTATAAATTCAGAAAAACTGAGAATTAAGCAATCATAGGACTGTGGATTAAGTTTGAACTCTGTCAAAGTTTGTATTCTATGAAGTTTGGATTCCATGGGATCCCTTCAGCAGCACCACAGCAGAAATATGGAACAGTTACCACTCCTGGGAGCTGCTGGGTGCCTCCTCCTGCTCCCACACCTGAGGTTACAGAAGAGCAGTAACGACACAAACAAGCTGTACTACCACTGAAAACATGCACTGAGGAGGAAACTCCTTTCAGCTCATGTGCAGGAGCAGGGAAGCTTGCTGATGTTATTTTAGGAGAAGATCCTTCTATTATTTGCCACATGGTAATTCCAAAATATCCTAATGAAGTAAATAGTGTCTATATGTATTTCTGCACACTGATATATATATATACACACACATAAAATGGAAAAGAGATTCTAGATCTTGATAATTAACTGGATACATGTGGGAGCCATCTGGACCACCCAATTTCCAGTCTTGTTCCCTTCAACACTTGCTGAACCCTAAATTATCACAGCTTTTTGGGCATGCTGGCTGCAATTACTGTGCTGCTGGGACATTGTGCATCCAGTCTCTGTGAGCCCTTTGGCTGCCTCCTCTGGGCACTTCAGTGATGAAGGAACTAAGTGGAGGTTTTTTATTGGAATAAAAGCTTCCCCATCTACCATGCTGGATAACCCAGGGGGTTTATTATCGTCTGGACAGTGGGAAATAACTCTGCAGAGCTGAGTGTAGTATCTGTGCCCAGTTTCCTGAAATGTAAAGTGACTCAGCTGGAGGCAAATTCCACGTGCTTCTCTGCACAAAGGCGAGGATGTATGTTTGTAAACAGACAGATGAAGTGTCCTTTGGATGGCTTGTGTGCTCCTTCTGGAGTCACAGCCTTGATCTCCCCCAGCACCAAAAGATTACGGGTAACACTGATCAAACAACAACCGCTGGCATAGCGTTGATTTTCACTTCACAGGAATTTTCATTTCTATGAATGTTACAACACTGTACATACAACTACAAACATCTGTGGGGACCCTTCTAGCAGGCTCTGAATGCTGCTGTGTTTGGTGCATGCAGAGAAGCACCTGACGAGCAGGGGACAGGACAGGGTGTCCCCAGCAGGAGCAGCTCCCAGGGCTGGGAATTGCATCAGTGATGTGCAGCCTTCAGAGGAACCAGGGACAGAGCCACTCCAGAGGGCCACCCTGGATAAAAGCTTCCCTCCTAATGCACTGCAATCTTCTCTCCTTCTCTAGAGCAGGGAACAAAATGGCATCCCCACCTGTTTCTCTCCCTTTTCTTTTTTAAAATAAGTTACTTTAAAAATGTCAAACTCTACAGGTTATCTACTGTCACTTGCAAGAGCAGAGATTCGTGCCTCATCCTCGTGCACGATTTGTACCAGAGAGCACCAACACAGGCATTTTCTGGTCCTTCTTTCTCCTTCAAATATGTTCTGTCTGTGCTCATTCAAAGCACAACTTTTTTTAAATTACAGAAATACTTTCTGAGACTTTACAAGTTGAAGAAACAGGTCTCTTGGAGGATTTTTGTCAGCATTTGCAGGGCAGGTATTAGAGAAAGTTACTTTGAAGTATCCCTTTGAACAGCAGATCTGTGGTATGATTCTCTTCCAGCTCACTTCTGCTGCAATCCAGAGAAACAAATTGATTTTTCCCCCCTTTTTAATTCTATTTGAGTTTTGAAAGATTGGTAATTATTCAGCCTTTATTTCATGTCACGCACTGCTAACCCTGGGTTTGTTTGGGGGTTTTACTGTTGTTTTTAGGAAACAGAAGGTGTCAAACCCAAACTAGGTTTCATAACAAAGCCATTACATAACTGCCCAATTAGCAGCTCGTTCAGTGCTATTAATAGCAGCTCCACATCCAACCCGCTCTGTGCAGCGCTACAATAACTGGCAAGAGGAGGCTTCTCATTAGTTATTCATTCTCAGAGGAGAATAAATGGCCTTGGTGGAGATTTCTGAGATGCAGAGTAACGTGCTGTTTGTTGGCTGCTGCCTCTTGCCCTGCTCTGCTTTCCGTGACTCGCGGGAGATGCTCAGCCCCGAGAAGCATCACTTCAGGCCAGTGAGGAGATGCCGTGAAGGATCTTCTCCTAAAATAACATCCCAGACACAGACACAGCTCCCACCAAGCTGGGTTCCAGGCCAGGAGCCCCTTGGAGTCTTTTCCTGTGGCACGGTGTCTGTGGTGTCACCTGTCACTGACTGACAGGCTGTAATTCACTCTCCAGTGACAGTGGCGTTCCAGCCCACGGGTACTGCCCTGCTCCTCCATCTCAGCTGCTCTGGGCTGGGTGTTGCTCACGCTGTGACCACTCAAACAAAAATACCCAGAGCAATCTGAACAGTCTTCTGAAAGATTTTTTTTTTTTTTTTTTACTGGAGTTTTGATCATTTTAAGCCACTTAGGCTGCTGACCACATAATCTGATCCAGAACTTCTTGTAATTTTCTGCACAATACTTTTTTTTTTACTTCCTAAGAGAGATCAGATCTGATTTCTATTTTTAAAATAGGGTACTTTAAGTGTTGCAGCATGTGAGCTGGTTTGATCTTACATTCCTCTGTTCCTGAACTCCAACCTGGAAATAAAGAATTTGTGAAGAGATTTTCTGTGGCCTGATGACAACCTTACATTCTTTACCACAGTGACTTCCTTTTATATTGGAACTCTCACCTGATAAAAACACGGGTCAAATCTCCCTCTATATATATCTATACATGTCTCTAAAATAATTTCTTCTCCTGAGGTCCATATTCTCTTCTCCTCGGGTGCTTCCACTGCTCCTGAATTCCAGACTGGTTAAGGTTTTACCTCTCTTCCCTGTATCATGATTCCCATCAGGGGCTGTCTATGGGGATACCAAAGGCTCTTGCACTCCTTTCCCCTAGGCACAAGTTGCTTCAGAATTAAGGATTTACTTCCATTGGTACAAAATGAGCTGCACAATTAAAGGGTCTGACTGAATATTGACTCAGGTTTCTGTTCCTGCATTGCTTCCTTGTTGACATAATTGTCCTTCAGCCCTCTGTACTTGTCCTACAGTTGTATGTCCTCCCTGGGAAAAAAAAAAACCAAGAGGAGAGAGACTTCCACAATCACAAATCGTCCACCAATCACCCACCAAACTGGACGTTCTGGTAGCTTATCAAAAGTATGACACTGAAGATGTCAAGGTGGTGCCACACACCCCCAAGGACACAAGGCTTAGTCCCAGCCTTGCTGTTGGTTTTTGCTAGGTATGTACATGCAAGTGTCCGAGCTCCAGTGTAGATGCCCTGGACACCTTAACTAGGTAGATAGGAGCTGGTATTTCTGTGTGCTTGATTGCAGAACTAGGTAGAAAACAACAATTGGTTTTTCTTTCTGAAAACACTCTCAAAGATATTGCCTTGGTTTTGACAAATTTTATAGAAAAATGGGGGGAAAAAACCAAGTTAAAATCAAAGGAAAATTTGAGTAATAGTTTTTCAAAACTCAGTAAGACATTCAGAACTGGAACAGGCTGAACATCTCTGAATCCTGTCTGAGCTTCAAAAGAGACATTGCAGGGATTGCATTAAATTAGGCTGCTATTCTCCCACTTTGCTGAAAAAATGAGTGTCCTTTCTTTGTAGAATAACTGGCTAGGATCAGCTTTAAGAATGGCTGGCAAAGGACTTGGCACAGAAAAGCAGGCTTCCCCTCCAACCCCACAAACTAGCTCACCTTTGGTGTGGGTCTGTCTAGTGAAAGCCTTACAGAAAAACGACTGTGACCTATTTTGCTGCATAGCAAACGTGGCTCTGATGCTCAGATAAAGATTCCTGTATTTCCTGAGTGCTCAAAGCTACTTACATGGGAGAAGATTGCTTGGTAAGTAAGGATTTGTAGGATCCAAGGAGCCTAAGAGCATAAGGAACGCGGGGCTGTCAAATCACCGGTCCCTCCAGCCCTGGTCTCCTCTCTGGGACTCCTGACTCTGCCTTTATGTGATCTGTACACAGCACCAATACAATCCACACACAATCAAAAAAATATCAAACCCTTCAAACAGCTTTTCATCTGACAAACCTCTAAGTGAAGGATTAATATGCCCTGAGAGATTCAGAGAGATAAAAGCTTTGTGTTCAGTTCAACAGCCCTGCCAAAGGGTTCAGAAAGTTGTTTCCCAAGTGTTAAAATACAGCCCTCATCTGCATTTGTAATTCAGCGTCCCTGGAACTATAAACAGCAATAGCTCATGCATAAACTCACCCTTCATCCATCATCAGCAGAAAAATGAGTTTATCCATGATGTAAGATTTCTTCTTTACTTCAGATTGTGGAGACGGGGTTCTGGTTGTATTGTTTCTCTCATCACCTTCCCAATCTCAGCTGAAAAATAAGACATCTACTTGACCTTGAAGCCTCTGATATGAGGAAAAGCTATTTTCTAAATGATTAAAGTGAAGCAGTTCTACGCAGTCCTCTGCTCTACCTGCAGTAAAGGTTTACTCATCTTTTTTTGAAGAAAAAAAAAAAGAAGTTAAAAATATTAAAATCATCAAGTACAAGTAACGCACCGGGGTTTTCTTAATTATGCCCATTTTGGGGAGCCCCTAGAAACATTACAAGTTTCTGGTGTGAAAAAGACATGTGGTGGAGACACTTTCTCATAGTGTGTCTTTCTTAACAAGCAGGGACTTTGAACATCAGTCCCAAACATTTTTCCTCAGTAGAGCACATTTGCTCTGCCTGTCAGACTCTTTTTTTTTTTTAAGGTGGATGAATATGTTTAATAACTGAACTACTGGTAATGGGATGATCTCCTGTGTTGCTATAAAAGGAAAGCATATGCTTTTATACAAATTATTTATAAGCAAACGCCACAGTTGAAGTTATGAGCATTATGAATAATGCCTGTCAGCTGAAATCTTTCTCAAGTTGAAAACTGAGGTTACACTAAGCTAAGTGAATGGAGTAACAACTGCCTGGGTACCATGAAAACTGAACAGGTCACTCAGGAAAACAGGAATAGGGAATGAAAGGGCTCCACAGGAGATCCTGGACCAGTGAAGATGTCTTTGCTCGCTGTCCCATCTTTAATTAGTTTACAGATGCATGTGCCTAACTGAGCATTTGCAAGTTCACTTCTTTTAAAACAGATTGATAGGAACAGAAAGGGTTGAATCTATGGAACTGCAATGTGAATGACAACATTTGAGGCAACAGAAAATCTCAGCAAGGAATATACGAGCTACTTGGTTTTCTTTTCCATTTTTTCACTTGATTCCTTTGCAGGTCAGCCTGCTCACAGGCCTTGTCTTTTTTGTAGGCATACAGGAATTGAACACATAGGACCAGAAGGATGTTTCTGGGCCATATCACCCATCTGTACTACAGGCAGCTTCCTCTCTTGCCTTGCTCTGCTAATCAGATTAAAATTCTACTCCAAGCCAATACAACATTATCAGTTAGAAAACTTTGCTTGGTAGCCAGCCCACACATACCCATTTTCAGCTTGGAGCCATTTGTTCAGCTCCACTGTTATCCTTTAATTTCCATTAGCTTGTCCCCAAATGCTGTTAATACCATTTGTGTGTTCAGAGTGCAGCTGCATCCTCTCTCAGTCCTTGGTTTCAGGCTCTGATCACAAGACAGGTTTTTCTTTTCCCTGTCATCCTTGAATGGCTGCTCAGAGCTGTTCAGATCAGGCTGTTCCATCCCCCTGGCAGCTTTTCAGATTGGACTTTCTCTTTTTAAAATATGGTAAAGCCAACTTCTACCCATTACTTAAAATTACGTGTCTAAATCAGGTTATAATTATTATTTGGGGGACATCTCATCAGCCCTTCTTTATGCTTGCTTAAAATAGAAAAAAATACTATATCTACAGTGATAAGTTCTGGCACCACAAGTCCCATTTAACCATCATCTGAGTAGGACAAAGTCAAGCCCATTTCTCAATAGTTGTTTCCAAGTGATAAGGAAACTAGATGCTCAGACACCCAACTAGAGACAGCCAAGATTTAACTGGGATTTTATCCAAAAGAGGAGACTCCCTCCCTGTCCATGAGAGAAGGGAAAGTTTGGGTTGGAACACTGGTTGAGTAGAGTACACCAGATATTTGATTCATCAACATTTTTCCTCTTACCTGTGCTCATTTGCATACAGTGACAGAAATAATTTGTTTCTGTGGGAAATAGTTGTGTTTCTGTCCCTATTGTGTTTTAAAAATTCATTCTATGTAGTGTATTTTGCATTAGCAAACTGGCAGAACACTCCACTGCACACATATTGCACATACATACAGTGATCAATATCATACTGCTCTCTTTCTTAAAAACAGCCCAAGGATTCTCTGTATGGCTCATAAAGGCCCCAAATCCCATTTTTTCCCTGGCTTTAGCAGCACATTACTGTGTTTCCAGGGCAGATAGGTATGACTTTACACATCTGATTGTGCAGTAATAGCTGTCCAAGGATTTACAACCTTTGCTATCTTCTTGTTACAAAGGATCCTGCCAAACATGAGCTTTTCTTTCAGGTAAAACAATTAGCCATACACACTGAAATCAGGAATTATTGCCATTTTGGAACTTCTCCGAGGTTTTGGCAGGGTTGCTCTGGAGACCCACATAACCTCTCCTGATGGCTGGCACCCCATAAATATCAGGGGCAAGAGCAATCTCTGCTTATAATTGTCCAAAGGAATTCACTTCTGCCTCCTTTCATGATGTCATTGGCATTGTGAAAAATAATTGCTGAGGTTAAAATGTCTCTGGATGGCCTGTCTTGCAGTAAAATTGCTAACTCACAGTCACCACAACACCCCAGGGCTGCTATCTGTGGCCTGCCCACTGCCTGATTGCAGCCATTAGTCTGGGAGGACAGACGGCTCAGATAAAGAGATTAAGATAAACTCTCTGCATTGATCTCAGATTGAGAGGAGAAATGGAACTTCTTCATTTGGAGATGGATCAGTGGAAATAATTTTCAAATACTACTGACTATTTCTGAGGTGAAAACAATTGTTAGTGCCTTGCAGCAACAGAGTTTTCTTATTTAAAATGAACATCATCGTTCAGAAATAACTCCCAAATTACCATCTCATTTCCCTTCCCCAAAAAGGCATTAAATGTGATCAGTGTGCTCACACAGGGAAACAAATAAGTGGTAGAAAATTAGTTCAGTGCACATCTCAACTGACTAATGGGAGTTCTAAAGGCAGTGAAGAGATGCACAAGCCCAATTTGCTCGCCTGGCTTGGTTTCAGGATCCTAAAAGAAATCCCAGAAATAGGAAAAGAGGAAATCCAGAAGTGCCCCACTGGCTGCATAAAAAGGTTAAGGGCATCTTGGATAACTCTCATGCTGTGGTGAGCCAAGGGTACACTGGTCAGGGGACCCTTAAACTGACAGAGAAAAGTAAAAACAGGAAAGAGAAGGCAAAAATAACTGAGCAGGAGTCAAGATGGCAAGAGAAACTTCAAGGAGCTGCTTAACAAAAGGAAAGATGTAATTTAAGTCTACTGCAGTGGAGAATTAATAACACAAAGAATTTTATATTGTTTAGCCTGTATCCATCTGAGCTACCAGCACTGGCATCTGGTGGTGTTTGGGGGTTGGTTTGGTTGGTTTTCTTCTTTATAAATTAAATGTTAAATCACTGCTTGGAGCCAGAAGTAAATGGGTAAAAGGGAAGTAATATCAGTAAATATAAAAAATGTGGGTAATCAGGATGACAACAAACCGGACACTCACTGTCTTGAACAAAGCTCTACAAATTGAAGCACAAAGAGGAATTGGCCCTCAGTTTCTTCTACAAGAACATCCTTGAGCACTAAGGGGAGGAACAAACCTGTAGTTTGATGGCAGCCTCAGGTCTCTACTGCTGAAACAGCCTCAGGATTTCTACAAATTACAGAGGAGTCCCCAAACACAAGAAGCCATTTCCAGCACTAAATAACAGTATATTTTAGTTGGTGTTTAAGAGACAGTTCCACAAGCCAAAACCAATTTTAAAGAACATGAGGTGTGAGAGAAAATAGAATTAAACTGAAGGAAGTGACAATTGAGAACTTAATAAAAACACTTTGAGTAGATGCCCCCAAAACCACAAGTCTGGGCTAAAAAAAGAGAACTGCAGGTTAAAAAGCAGCGTGGCTTTGAAGGAAATGAAAGCCACAGTACAGCAAAATAAATATTGCTGTTTTCATTTCCTTGCACTGTTCAACAGCATTCCCTTCATTCCCAGGCATGGGCTAAGAGAAGAAGGAAAAGGTGACAGCAGTGACTCTAAGTGAAAACTTGCACTTTAAAGAAAGGGAAGCAAAAGGTGTGGAAAGACTCCTTTGGCAAGCAGAGCTGAAACACTGAGAGCTTTTCCAATGTACCTCTGGTCCCCATGCTGTCCGTGGCAGCTTTGGAGCAGCTTGGGAAGCAGGAGCATCACTCACACCACCCCAAAAGCACTTTGTTTCAGGAGTTTTGTGTTTGGCAAGATGTGAAGTGGTAAAATGTCAAGGGCAGGTTGTACATGAAGAAGCAAAGGACAGCTGCCTTCCTCTACTGAAAAGTAAAAATGAAAATGACATTTTGAATACAGAAAAGTATAGACAATTTCAGTAAATGCAGCTGTTGGGAAAAAAGGCCCAGAGCCTGTTTGAAGCTCATTAATGCCAATGATAGGTTTGAGAGTCTGACAGTTGGGTAAAGATGCTTCTTTTCTGGGTAAAATATTACAGTGGTGCCACAGGGTGACCTTCAATTCTGTTCTTTTCAGAAAGAGCTGTAAAGGACTTTCTGTCTGCCAGCCTCAAGGACAAGTTCAGCAAGAACACACAGCACACAGGGCATGACCCAGCCTCCTTCCCCTTGCCCGAGTCAATTACACATCAATTAAATTGTGCTGCCACGTTCCCCTGGTCTCCTCTCCAGCCTCTCATCAGCAGGTATTTAAAGGAAGCACGCACTTCCTCCAGCACTTGCTAATGCTGTCAGCCCGAGGTGAGAGCGGGCTCAGAGCAAGAAAAGCACAGAGCAGCACCCCAAGGCTGCTCATTCCTACAGAACCTGATGCTTCATTTCAGCTGCTCCTCTGGGGCCCACTCTTTCAAAGCTTTACATTTCTTGCCAGCTCAGAGGCTCCAGTTTCTCTAACATGTTCTTTACGGTAACTCCTGGCTGCACCAAGCCAAAAGTACATATTTTTCAGCATAGATAAATCCCTTTCAGTCACATCTGAGAATAAGACAAATACATGAGCATTCACTACATCTTACTATGAGCATGGACAGAAACAAGGCAGCCAAGGCAATAAATTCCAGGAGAAAGGCTTCTCCCAGGTGACCAGCAGGAAGTAAATGAACAAAGGTACATATGTTAGGCGAGGCAGAGTCCACAGCAAGACATGTAGAAGGGAGGGAGAGAATAAATCTTTCCCTTATTCTCAGTGGAACTGTATTAATCTTGCCTCAATCAGGCTTTTCTTACCTATTCCTTTTCTCCAATAGGCAAGCAAATAAAATCCATAGGAAGGATGGGAAGAGGAGAGCCACGGCTGAGGCAGAATGTTCCCTTTGGATGTTTGGAGAAAAACCCCCTTCCATTTCCACTCCCATGGGGTACAGAGTGTCTCTCATGTACAGTAACAGAACATACACACTCACCTCCTATGGCCAGGTGCCTGCTGCACTCCTACACAGAGAAATTCCTGTGCCCTAGGGGTGTGTGTGTAGGGGGATAGAATATAAGTAAATTAAGGTAGTATAGAAAGTAATCTTACCCCTTAAGGAGTTGCAGCTGAGCCAGTTATTAAAGATTAGGAGCAGGCCTGACTTTAACAGGCCAATAACAAGAAGAGTGCTATAAAAGAGTGGCTTGGTTGGTTGAGGGGACCTGGAGTCAGCTGGCTGCTGTGAGGACAAGGAAGAGTCAGTGCTTGGAGGAGCTGCCTGTGAGAAACATCAAGGAGGCATGAAATTTTAGCAATATGAAACCTTTGCAATATAGTGATAATGTGGGAAGTGGGGATTTGGAGGGACCTTCACAGTAAAACCTTCAGATGTGACAGTGTTGAGGCATGTTAATGATCTCCTATGAGCAACTGACACAGCATGCAGAAACAGACACAGAAATTATTCACAGCTTTCTTACCCAAAGGCTGTTCCTGTTTATTGAAAGCACAATCTGCTGCAGTCAGCAAGATCTACCTCCTGTATTTCTGCCCCAAAAAAGAGAACATACTTCCTCATCTGCCTAGCCATCACCTTCTGATGTACCACAGTACCACAAACCCCTAAAACCAGCACTGGATTAACACAACATTGCCAGCAGGTAGGACCCAGCAGCACTTCCCTTCCTCACCACCACACATCCCCAGGGGAAGCACACTGTCCCTCCCCAGCCCTGAGTGACCAGCTATTGCCTTCTGCCTTGCTTGGCCATTCCCACAGCCCTTCCTCAGCAGAGCACTGTGATGGTCCCAGTTCTCTTCCTCTCTCACTGCCTTCCCAGTGCGTGGCAAAACCCCTTCCCAGGCACACCCCCTTGGACCCAGCATTCTGCACTTCTCCAGCTTGGGCTCAGGGCTTGGGCTCCTCTCGTGCTCTGTGTTTTCCCAGTGCCCAGCACAACAGGGAGCTCCTGGGTGACCTTCCCCTGCTCCTTCCCTGTCCTTGCTTACATAATGTCTGTGACTCATTCATAGCAAGTTGCCCGTAGCATGCAACATCTGGGTCTGTTTTGGATTTTCTCCTTCCTCTGTGAAGTTGTCAAGTCAGCTTTGGGATATTTGGTCTAAACTTGATCCTTATAAAGTTGATGTAATTAGGATGGGAAATCCTTTCCAATTTCATCTTTTGGGGGATAATCCCATGTTGCTGTATGCTATTTCCTCACTGGATGTTTGTGTTAGGAGAAGCCTTTTCTTCCTAGTTGTGTCTTCCATGTAGTTTTGGAACAGATAATCCCTGGGTCATTAACCCTTTCTGTGCTCCTGTTGAGCTCCTCTTACCTTGTACTCCTCAGCATTTTTCCCCCTATGTATATTCCCTTGAAAGGCTCCTCCATGTTTGGTATTTGAATGCTTGGAACAGCCTCTGTTTCTTGGGGTATGTGGCCCTTTCCACATAGGGCATTGTCTGTTTTACCTTTAAAAATGTACCAGATTTGTAAATTTGAGGGTAATGATTTATAGCCCAACTGGTCCTAATTATCTCATTACTAGTCAAATAAGGACTTCTTCCAAATATCACATAACAGATGGTGAAGAGAAATTTTATTTCCAGTTCTTCCTAGACTAACATTTGAGGTAGCATGGAAAAAGAGAGGAGAGGGCAGAGCTGGACACAGATGGTAAACATATTTGGTTTTAATCAGCATTTAAAACCTTCTCCTATTTTGGCCAAAATTTCTTACTTTCAAATCTGACTCAAAATTGATCAACTATTTACTACTCTAAAAAGTTCATCTGTTTTTGTTTTAAGATGCAGCGATGTCACAACAAATCTCTAAGTTTTAATAACAATATAAAACCCAAACAAGCTACATTGTACCAAATGTATTTATGTTTTTCTTAGCAACAAATTTCTGTTACTACAATTGTAGCAAAGTAGAGATAAACAGCTGAAAAATATCTATGGGATACTGTTCATAATCCAGGATTTGATGTAAAGTCCGGAAACTTTAATTTAAAGACTGAGTCATGTAAAAGGCAACTAGTACTTATATTACAGCTAGACTAAAAGACACATATTTTTGTCTGTATATTTTAGATTACTGCATGGCTAGTGATTCTTATCCATTGTGAAATCTTAATAACCAACTTTTGATCTTCTCAGGAATTTTATTTCAATATATACTGGGTAATTGTTAGTTATTGGCCATTTATTAATTTTCTTGACCTTGAAACTAGTTACATATTTTAAGGGGAATTAAAGTAATTAATTATGATAATACCCATAACAACCTGATCATATAGTGGAAGGTATCTTAATGTACATACCCTTCTATCACAAAAAAAAAAAAATCCAAAACTTTATGTAGACAAAAAGAAGAAGAGAATTCTAAAGAAAGTCCTATGTAAGAAATGCACATTACTGCCATGTTAGGAGCCACAGGATTCCAAGAGTACCTGAAATTCCCCGGACAGCTGTAAACCAACACTGGCTTGATTATTTATCTGCCTTTTCCGATGCATCTGCTGAGTTGTTGTGTTTAGGGAATGAGGAAAATGTTTGATTTACTCTTAGAGCTAGTGCTAGAGATTTTAATGTGTGTTCTCATTTTTACAGCAAGCCTCTCTTGTGGCTTTGAGGCACCCACCTTCTGCCTGTTTCCAATGCATATCCGTCAGGAGGAAAGAAAACGTTCTGTCTCATTTTTGGGCAAACCACGGCAGTATCTCCTTCCCATCAGTGCCAGTGTCAATCCCTTCTTTGCTACCTGGATGGGAAAGATTTAAAATTTGCTACAGTAATTTAAACAGCAGCAGCAATTTTTCAGCTTTGCCAGCTGTCTCAGCCCAAGCACCTCCTGTTTTCTTGTGCTCTCCCTGCATCCCTGTCCAAGGCTGGCAGAGGCTGAGCCCGTGTGTCAGCCACGAACGCCTCCCTCAAACCCTCAGCCAGCACCATTCCCCCCAAACACCTTCCTGACTTTTCACAGGAATCCAAACACACAAGGCCTCTCACAAAGAGCAGTTCACTCATCCTTGCCTGACTTCAGCCTCCTGAGGCATGGCAGAGCTCCTCAAAATCTACATATTCCATGGGTGGTGCTTGTGGCATCCCCCTGACACAGATGATAATACCCAACACAATGATACCCTCAGGAAAAGTCAGCCCTGAGCAGCCATTCATTTTATGTGATCACCTTCTACAGAGTACATCTGGGACAAAAAAGGGAATGATTTCCTGTTCAACTGAAGGCAGGAAAACCAGCAGGATTGAATAAAGTAAGTGAAACTGCTGTGAAATCCATGGCCTGAATGGTCTGTGCACTGCTCCTGGTGACAACAGGAATTCAGTTTCTAGCACGTGGCACATAACTGTGGAAGAGTCCTGGAGTTATGTGTTTTGTGTTTATGGGCTGGGACAAAGCTGAAGATGTGGTACAAAGCAGTGGTAAATAGAGAGACGTGAGTTGGTTTGGTTGGTTTGGTCTGTTGGGGTTTTTCTTGCTAAAATCTCAGGTTTTAGAGCTGGTCCTGTGCTGGGTGAGAACCTGACTCAAGATTTCTGTGTTTGGTACCAACACAACGCTGCTGCAAATGCTGCCCACAGTACCCTGAGTGGTGAAACAACAAAACCTATGGAATTGTGGAATCACTGGGGCTGGAAAAAACCTTCAAGGCCATCGAGTCCAGCTTTGACCAAACACAGCCATGGCCAAGAACCCACTAAATCTATGGTATATTCTGAAGGCTGAAAATCTACCATGGAAATTTGACTTGAGGAAAACATATGAACATATTTTCTGCTCATTTTGGTGATACAGATACATGTAAAACTCAGGGGGAAAAAAAGCTTGTTCTTCAAGGTTGTATACACTGCTAATAAATAAAAAATGAAATCAGATTATAAATACCAGATCCTCACACAATGAAATTCACTTTCCTTTCATTGATTTAAGCAAGTATTAAATTGATTTAAAGGCAGCTGTGTCAACTTCTATCACCAAGGGGTTTGGTTCTGAATACCTAAGAACTTGATTTCTTGAAGTCTTTTATATTTATCACTCCCATGGTGCACAGAGAGGCTGATCATGTCTCAGCAAAGTGGAGTTTGCCAGACGAGTGAACAAAACCCAGACCCCTCACCATGTGACCCTGGTTTAGATCATTCCATATGGGGACACATATGGATAGGGAAGTACATTTTTTCATGTGTGTATATATATATATAAACTTATATGTGCGTGGAAATAAAATCATATTGATTACATAGACAACTTCTTAAATGATATATATCTAAAATATTAAAATGAAAATTACCAAATCCTTCTGGCTTGATCCCCTGCCTTGTCTTTGCTCCTTCATGTGTATTCATTCATCCCTCATGCTGGCTTGTCCCTGAAGGACCAAGGTCTGTAAGCAGAGAGAGAGTAACTTCTCTAAATCTCAAATTACAATAATCCAGGATTTAAGAAGCAAAATGGTACCATTACTGCAGATAATTGTAACCCTGGAGAAATAGGTCAGAGCTGCAGTTCATCTCACCACTGCTACCAACAAATGAGGTCACAATTTGCTTACTTTTACTGTGCTGTTGCTTTAAAAGAAAAGAGCTTATTTTTCTGTATTGATAAAGGTAATGAATTCCCAGGCAGCAACAGAAGAAGAGATAAAAGCAGGAATTAAATCTCTGGTCTGTGTGGCCTTGGGTATCCATCCCACACAACACAAGCACGACAAGTCAAGGCTCTTTTTAACACTTCTTTTGCAATCACAACCACTGTTCCCCTTCAGCTGCATACAATGTGCATGCAGATGTAACAGTGTTTTCCAAACACCCTCAGTGGAAAGGATGAACATGCAGGCTCTTCTCACTCCTGGAACCTGCATTCTCTGGGTATTTGTTAGAGACAAGTTGTCTCTGCAGAACAACTAAAGGCAATGAAAATAAGAATCTCAGCATTTTCTGTAATAGCTCTTGTGGAATGTAGTCATTCAAGGAAGAATTTGTGCAGCTGGTAAAGGCAGTGTGACTACAAAAAAATGCAGCCTCCCTATAAATTCTCTGTGATCCCTGAGGAAACCTCAGGAAAAAGGCCAATGCAGATTTGCATGGTTCCCTGAAGGATACTGCACTTCCACAAATCCTCCCCTGAAGAGATTAAGCTTTGCAACAGTTTGCACTCAAATGCAATTAATTTTGATGGCCCCTGCATGATTACAAGTGTAATGTTTAGTTTTGCTATCAATTACCACACGAGACTCTTCCTGGGTCACTACTCTGTGAGCTACTATGGCTTTACTTGTATTGAGCCATCTCCATTCTCTCCATAATTTACACATTTGGAGCACAATGGTCTCTCTGAACCAGCTCAAGTGTAAAGGAACAGTAATAATAATAAATAGATAGTAAGTTAATGCTTTTGCTGTCAAGTATTAGAGACATGGAAGAAATTAATGGCCACCTCTCCTGTTCTGCATCCTGGCATAGGAGTTCAATTTTAGTTCAAATAATAGATGTTTATGTGAATAATAAGACTTGTGTGCAGGTAAGTCACTAGCAGAGTCTTGTGTGCAACCATTTACTAATTAATGCAGTTTGTTAATGGCAAGTATTTGTATAAGTGTTTGTATTTAGGTAATTACTCACCATTTGTAAAAATCCAATCAGCTTGTGCTAGGAGGGAGCTGTTAGTTCTTTCTGATTAAGAGAGGTTACCCTAACAGGAACCCTGAAAGTTTGCAGTCAAGGTTTTTTGAAGTTTTCTGCTTCGCTATTCACCTCAATATATACATCATCTGAGAAAGATTTACAGAGGAAACCACTTAAACAATGAAATATAAATGAGTCCGATGCATTTCTCTGCCAGGTTGTACCCAGAGTGGTATTTGGGGGTTTATGCAGGGATAGCATTGCCTAATGAATCTGGCCAAGTGGAATCAATATGAGAGTAATTAATTTAACTCCATCTTTTTATTTTTCAAAGTGACAGATTTATAATTACTGTCCCAAAAGCTAGAATTTTGTTTTCTCTTTTATTTTCCCCCCAGATATCCTGCTCTTCTTTCTCTCCTTTCTTTTTAATGTAAAAGGACTCTAACAGCCATACTAGCTGCTGAAATGGAGAAACCAAAGCAAAAAAAAACATTTAGGCCACCACTTGTATATTTATTCTCCCTCTTTTTGCATTATTCTTGGCTATAAATATTTTTGAATGTTGTTTCTGTGGCTACACACAGAGGTTCCCTTTAGCTTTGGGCTTTAATGACTTAGTCACCAATGCAACATAAAAGCATGGGAACTCCTGACAATTCACATCAACTCAAAAGCTGTTCCACTGACATTTGATAAGAGATCATTGCAGAAGCAATATTTGGAACACTACAGGAATGAAACAAGGGCTTGATTCCCTTTGTATAAAATGTTCAACAATCACCCTGCTAAAAGAGTGCAAAGATAGCAGACTGAGTGTATATGTGTTACACTTGTCTTTTTTAGCATTAATTTCCCCTCTCCTTGTTTAAACTAATGGAAGTATTAAAGCTTGTGACAACCACGGTAATTTCAATTTAGACCACTTCAGTTTGGTGAGCACTTTCAATTTGAAGTACACGCTCCAGCAATTCCAGCAATACAAAATACTTTCCTTTACAGCTGCCCAGAATAATACAGGATTTGAGCTCTCTTAACTCTTACTCTCCAAACTCCAAGGGGAAAATATTATTGCATGCTGAGAGTCCTTACAGTGATTTCTGCCAAGCCATGAAAAAACCCTGTAGTTTTACTCATCTGTGCTGATTGTTTTTGAGCAGTAGTGGAGGTTTTGGAGGGTTTTGCAGGTGAGTGTGCACTCACAGGGTGAGTGACTGTGTCACCCTGCAGCAGCTGTACCTGCTCCAAGGCCTGCAGATCTCATTGGGAGCTCTGTTTATTCCAAAGGCTGGTGGTGTTTGCAGTAGGTAAAATGGCTTTCCAAGCCAGCAGGAAGAGCCTGCTCCTGGGGACTACGAAGGTACTGCTGGAGGGAAGAGGAATGGAATCTTTCAAAGATCCAAAACTGCATTTTGAGCACGTGTAGACACTGAACAGAAATATCATAACGTTTTAGTAAAGCAGAATCAGAGTTTACAACCCAGTGAGTGCCTCTACATCTCACCTGCCTGGAAATTTCTCAGGGTTTCAGTGGGACAGGACAACTTTTTCCAAGCATTTCTCTTACTGAGAAGCAGAAACTGTTGAAAAAGATTGCCATTCCCAATGAACAACTCCCATAGCTTCCCAGGAAAACAACATTGCATGCAATATATGAAAAGAATATTAGAACACACTTACCACACGTGGTGGAGGAGAATGTGGGTACCTTCTGCCTGTTCCAGCTCATTCCCTTGGCCACTGCACTCCACACCACCAAATCCTGAGGAGCTGCTCAGGGGTTTTGCTGCATTAAGGTGCTGCTTTCACACAGCACCCGGATTCTTCTTGCTCCCACACTGCCAAGCCTCTGGTTTAGTCCTGGAGGGGGAAGTCAGAGCCAGCAACCAGCACCAGGAACAGGAGATACAGAGTGCCCACAGCACGTACTTGTCCCACTTGCACCTTTCTATCAGTTTCCAAATCAAGCAAAGTAAATGGTACAGAGCAAACTTTTCCTGGAGCTCCAAGGGAACTGGCAGGCAATATCTCACCTGGCTGTGGTTGTGTACAATCACTGTGCACATAAATCAAGTGTGACACTTCCATCAACGCCAAGTGACCGTAATTGGACTCAAGCAGTCTCTTAAAACAAAAGTAAATTATCTAGATACATGTAAATAAGTCCTGAGAGTACCCTTCACCTCCACACAGCTCTGCTTCCATACCTGTTGCTTGATTTAGAGTTTTCAGTCCTCACACTGTTACTTTCCATTGTCTGCATGGATTATTTATTTTACATCAGAAAAGAAAAACCAGAAAGGCAAAGGAAAAATAATAAAAGTAATAACTTAACAAAAGATGAAACCATATGTTCCTTCTTTCTGATGTTAAATCCACTTTGGGAGCAAAAAAGGTTATTCGCTCTCTTTGATCTTGAATATGTTGGGTAAATTATATCTCTGTCTAACCAGTTCAGTGATTTTCATACTGCACTCATACTTGACAAGGAACTTCACTGAAGTCTCTGAAAAACCTGCAGCTGTGAAAAAAGCAAAAGCAAGAGGCTAGGATGTGTGAGAAATAAGTGAATAAATAAGACCCAGTTGTGATTCCTGCATGAGAAGTGAGCATGCAGCCCTCTGCAGCCAGGGTGTGCTGCCAAAGCAGGTGAATTAAGAGACCAAAAGGGATTTTTTAATATTTTGTAAGTTGACAATATGGCATAATTCAGAGATTCCACATTTACTGAATAAAAACCTGTAAGGAAGCTACTATTTACCACAAAAGCAGGCTCTTGGTCACGTGTGTGTGTGCGCATTAGGGTACAAGAAATTTTCTTAGAATGCTGACATTTATACAGGACTTTCTTTACTTACTACAAACATAGTATGTGTGTAACCTGGGTTTTTTTGGAAGATGATAAAAATGTATACTCCCTCTTCCCAGTGTTTCCCCCAGAAGCCTCCATAGCTTGCCAGGTATTATTTGCTGAACAGTGAACACTGTTGCACAGCTATCTCCCAGCTGTCATCCACTTTTGCTTTAGTCATTCTGCAAGACTTGGGAGCTGGGTTTAATTGTTTCTACACCCAATTCAACTGGGAACTCATAACATGCAGATCAGCTAAGTGACAAAAAGGAAAGGTCAGGACAATCAGAAAAAATTTTAAAGAGGATTATTTAGTGCAATCAAGTATTTGTTAATACTTTGCCCTTCTACATGATTACTATTTTCTGTTTTAAAGTAATTCATTGCAAGAAAAGGGTATCTCCTATTCCTGAAACACCCTTAGAATATAAAAATATCTTAAATACCTTAACATATTAAATATAAAATACCCTCAGGTATTTCCTTAGGTTTAATATATTTGGGAAAATTGTCAGAAGCATATTAGTTGACTTTTATTCCAGTTTTAGTCCATTCTGAAATTCTACTCAGCAATTAATCTTCCTCAAGAAAGTTGTATTATTCCAATATTATATGATAGAAAATGCTAAGTCAGAGTCCTGCATAAAAATTCCTGATGAAGTCTTTCCTGTCGCACCTCACTGTTCACAGTATTCACAAACACACTGCTATAAATGGTATTTTTTTAAACTGTATGAGACCTGTTTGATGGTTTCACCTAAATCAACATCAGTGGGTTAAATAGCAGGTTCAGGGTTATGTGGTTATTGCAGTTGCCAGGATCAGAAAAAAAATCTGTCATTTCCAGTAGAGAAATGAGAAAATTTAGTGAAACCCATGAACAAATAACACCTGTACTGCTTAAAAGCAAAATAACACTGAAAGTAACTGGCCTCCAAAGTGCTGGTCCTATTGCAGACCTGAAGGCCAGGTGAGATCAAGGCCCAAGAGCAGGGCAGCGATGCCAGCACAGGTGTGAGGGTGCAGCCCTGGCTGCAGGGCCTGTGTTACCTTGCCCTTGGGGGCACACTGAGGAGCCCCAAAGCTGCAGCACTGCACACTCACATTTCTCTTCACACAGAAAAGCAAGGCACAATTCTTCCCAAAATTATTGTTGTCATTTGCTGTGCCTGTGTTTGTGCCAAAGTAGAATGCAATATGGAGACTGTTTACCCACAGTGATGGGGTTTTGCTTCCTTGGCCTATCAGGGCCAGGTGTGTGTGTGTGTGTGTGTGTGTCAGGACTGTGGGCTGACAATCATGAAATTCTGTGCAGTGTGTGCAGAGTTGAGTGCTTGGCAGATTCAGTTTAGATGTGATGTAACATAGTGTAATATGGTATAATGAAATAATGAATTAACCTTTAATAAAATGAAGTCCTCCTCATCATTCCTTCCTTCACCGGGGGTTCCCTGTGAATACTGCACAGCACGGCTTAGCCAAGGCTAGACTGAGGCCCTGCACCATCCCAGGAGCACACAGCACTGCACCATCCCAGGAACACACAGCACAGGGTGCAGGCAGCAGCGCAGCTCTGAGCTGCTCTCACTCCCTGCAGATCTTGGGGCTGACACAATGAAGGCCTCTCTGTTTTCAAGGCAAAGCCACCAAGGCCTGGCCTGCCAGGGCAGCCTCAGGGCTCCTCCATGGCATCTCCTCCAGAGGGAGAATCTCCGGCCCAGAATGGGGTGCTGAGGGCCCCTTCCATCTCAAGGACATTGCAGATCAGGGGATATTCAAGAGCTTGCACCAGTAACAGAAAATGTGTTTCATGCACAGATGAGGCCGCTGTACCCATGCAGAGCTGCTGAGCAGCTCAAGGGGCCCCTGCAAGTGTTTTCACAGGAGCACGGAACAGTTTGGGTTGGAAGAGACCTTACAGGCCATCCAGCCACCCCTTGCCATGGGCAGGGACACCTTCCACTGCACCAGGTGGCTCCAATCCCCATCCAGCCTGGCCCTGGACATTTGCAGGGATGTGTCCTGGGTAACTGTGGCTCTGCTGAAGGGAAAGCCAGTGTTTGGATTTGCTCTGAATGTCCCTGCAGCTGTGAAACGTGGATGGCAGCGCTGCTGGAACCAACTCTCTTGTGAGGTTTCCTGTACTCTCTGCTAGCAGGACTGCCAAGAATATTCCTCAGACAGCTTTTTTTGCAGTCATTTGGAATTTCACACTCTAGATGAAAGCAATTCAAAAGCAAATTGAGAAGCAGAGCTTAAAAGAAATAAGAGTATTTCAGGTTAGTTGTTTTAAGATTGAAGAAATAAGCAGGCTTAAAGGGAAAGACTCCTTCTTTTGGAATCAAGAATGCACCTTATGGATCCAGAATGCCTCTGGATCTCTGCCTATAGCTGGAAACAACTGAACTGGTACAGTAGCATAGCTGGCTTATCCATGTTTTGGAAAAGCAGTCCTCTCTTAGCCTGGGGAAATGAAGATGTGTAAGGATATTATCCTCTGTAAGAACTCCACATCTGACACTGCTTTTTGTTTTCCCCACAAAACTCTAGGCAGGAGAAAGCTCAGCTCCCCACAATCTTCAGCAAAAGTCTCTGGTCTCTGGAGAAACTCCCCAAGCAGCCTCCAGTCCCTGTGTGTGTGATCCTCACAAGAGAACTATTTCCATCTCCAGCTTCCCTGAGGACACGTGTTTCCCCTCTGAGTGTTTTTGTACTAACCACCTCTTGGTGAGCAGCTGCAAACAAGGAGACGTGCTGGAGTCAGCTCTGGAACTGCTCCTGAGTGCTTGCTTGTGCCTCATGCCAAGGAGCTCCAGTGCTTGGGTTTCATGTGGAATATGGTCTGTGCTGTCACCACGGGCACAGCTCCCAGGTCCTGCAGGTTTAATGAGCCTGAGCACAATTCTCACATCTCCAGGCACGGCAGCTGGAACCTGAAACAAATATTCCAAGCTACACTTCCCAAGGTATGTAGAGAGGGCCCAACACCAGCCATCAACACACAGAGGTCACTGATTTAGGAGGATTTTTATGGATGGAAAAGTAGAGGTGCCCAAAGTCCTGGGGGTCAGGACACTTAATACAACTATTTGTGTTACTATGAGAGTAACTTTGCTAGCATTGTATCATAACAGTTACAAGTGTCTTGGATTGTCTTTCATGGCCTAAATATCTGCTTTTGTACTAAATATTCACATAGACTGTGACTGAGAATACACTGAAGTCATCTCCTCATATAAAAATCCACACAAATGCTTCCGTTGTTCGGAGTTTTTTGTTCAAAAGTGGATGAAGAATCAATGTCTTTCCTGCTCCATAAACCAATTCTACCTGTATTTTTTCATAGAGGATGAGTGTGTAAAGCCAGAGTCTTCATTTGAGGGGAACTCTGTCATTATCTTCCATCTTCTGCTTCTGTATCATTCTACATTTCACAGCCCAGAAGCTTACAGGTCCAGCTGAAGGATCCTTGGATCCTCTCCCCTTATTCCAAGGGCTCCCAGAAGTGCAGAGAGTGGTACCAGACACAATCCCACCTTTTGTCTCATGCTTCTCAGATGCCTGTTCTTCACAGGAGCTGCTGCTACACTTCTCTGTGAGGAATGCTGGAGGAAGAAGTCACAGCCACAGTATTTGTAGAGAACGTGAGAAGAAATATTGTATTTTTAAAAGAAGAAGACAGCTTGAGCAGGAATGAGAACAAATCAGAGTGAATCATTTTCACTCACTGAACTTAGTACAGAAATGGGGGGAAAGGGGTGAGTGTGAAGATACTTCCCTGTCTCATTCTATAGAGTAATAGCAAAACCTGCTCAGGACTGCTTTAAAACCTGCATGAAGCACTTAGTGGAGATACAGCTTCTGTACAAGAACTCAACAGAGCAAAATCATACAGGAAGAGAACCCATGGGCTGATTTAACAGTGGCAGAAAGGCCACCACTAACTGTGTCCCCACCTGGCACATCTACACAGCTTTTAAATCCCTCCAGCGATGGTGATAAAAGTTACTCTGGTCACTCTGGAGAGAAAGCATCAAGAAGATGAAAAGGCAACCTGGCACCCTTCTAAACAGGAAATCCTTTAAAGAGAATGATGCTAAGTGATGGCAAGCACCAAGAGCTGAGGGGGAGGGATGGGAAGTGAACCTGGCAGGGGTAAAAGCTGGAGCAGAAGATGTGCACATAGGCCAGGATTTCAGTGCTGAGCATTGAACACCTGCCCAGCTCAGTGCTTCTGGGGTGAAGAAATAAATGCAGCTGTCTCTGGAGAGGTGGGCTAACAGTGCTTACCCATGTCCATCCTGCACTGACTCATCTCCAGGCCATCCTGCTGCAAGTTGGCCTCTGCTGGGGAGGAAAGCTTGGCAAAACAAAGTTCCTCTCTTGCTCAAGGTCTTTGTGCTGACTAGCAAAGGCCAAGTTCCCCAGCAGTGCTGGAAAAGGTGCCAGGATGTGTAACTCAGCGAGCTTGTCTTTCTTTCTTGGTCACAAAAAGGAGTCACTGCCCTGCACTGGGCAGGATGTGAATACCTCCCCCTTTATCTCCCAGGAAGAAGGGAAGGGCTCCAGTGAGGATCTTACCAAGGAGTCCCCTGACACCTCAGCCCAGAGCACCCTGTGTCCTCCTCCCTGTCCCCCATTTAATTTAAAATAAAGAGAATGACTTCACCTTTTCTTTGGAAACAAATAATAAACCACTCAGCATTTTAATGACAAATCCTTACTGAGATAAGCAATGCTTTGCTGGAGAGCAGCACCTGGACTAGGAGTTTTTTGTGTTTGGTCTCAATCTATGCACACCTTCATACATAAAGAATTTTAAGATGATCTGAGGGCTAAACCAGGAAATTAGAATCAGAAAAACAATTACAAAGAAGGTGCACACTTCTAACAATCTGGGTAATTAAACATTGGAACAATTCAGCAAGATGGGGGCGGATTTTCCATATGGTTTAACATGTTTGTACTTAGGCTGCTTCATAATGAACACGTATCTGTAGCAAATTTATGAACACAGTTTGGTAACACAGATTTTTGCTTCAACTTGCAGCAAGAGCATAAATAGACTTAAAGTCATTTACAGGAAGGCTAATAGAAAAAATGAATCACACCATGAGCCACACTGGTGATCCCACCCACCTTTCAGACAACACAAGGCAGAGTCGAACCAATCTCCAAAAGGGCAGATTGGGATAGAAAAGAAAAGAAAAACAATATTCATAAGAGATTTATAATTAAAGCCCAAGACTCATTTCCGTTGGAAACAGATGGCCAGGCAAAGGCATTGGGGATAATTTAGCTAAAGCCTGTGCTTCAACTTGCTAACAAAAGCATGGATTTAATCTTCCATGCAGAGGGCAACCTGTTTATTGCGTATTACAGAGCAGGAAACACCCGCATGGCTTCAAAGCTGACACACTCACAGGGCCAGTGCACAGCCAGCACTGCTGGGAAAGCACTGCCTCCAAGGAAAAGAAATTCCAACTGCAAGGGAACAGAACAAACAACAAGACTGGTAAAATCCCAGGGAAGAGCGAGAGATTGAGGGCTGGGTGAATCAGGAGAAACCTAATGTAGTGATAATGGGTGGGAGATGCTAAAGATGGTCAATAAAACCTTTGTTTTCCTTCCTTTCTTTAAGGTAAACCAAGGTTACTGTGTTGCAGGATAAATCTCAGCACCAGAACCACACTTTTAACACCTTGGGAAGTCTTCTGTCTTGGGAGACAACACAGAGAAGAGTCCCTGACATGGCTTTTCCACTGGGAATACAAGGAAAGTGTTGAGAACTTTACACCTGAACTTGCTCTCCTTCCATCCCCCCTCCCCATAATGAACAATCTTGCTTTACTGCTGTCACACCCACCTCGGTGATTCCCCAAATGCCCCTTTACACCCCTGTGTGTCTCTCACCTGGACCTGTGCTCAGCAGGAACTACAAACTCTCAGACCTGCCCCACTCTCATTATCAACGCTGTTCATGCTTCCAGCAGTACTGACTCCCTTGCACTGCAATTCTACTTCTCCTGATATGTTCTGAAAGTACTTGGTGAAAAAAAACCAGTGTAAAATAAATGATCTTTGGGGAAGTAGTATCACTGGACAATTATTGCCTGATGAATTCTGGAATTAGAAGAGAGACTGAGTGAATTTCCTCATTCAGCAGTGACAAACCAGCACGTTGCACTTGGAACCAGGAAAATCAGAACAAAGATTTCCCTGTAACTATAGAAATGGAGCAGCTATTTTATGGCACTGATTACTCACCTCTAAGATCTTCAACATGTTCTGCTGGGAAATGCAACCACTGAAACACTCCTACTATGCATGAGACCCTGAGGGCTATATCTGAACAAATATATTTTCTCTGATTTCAATTAGGGGAAATTAAACAGAGCCTACCCTCTGGAATGAGGAAATGGGGAAAAGTGACTTTTGAAAACATAATCCTCATACAAGGACAGGTGTATTTTTCCTGAATAACACTTTATAGGCATGGCTGCTGTGAGCATATTATGGGATATAAAATATAATGAGGAAGTTTATTCTGTATCCTTTTTCTTTTTTCTGCTTTGCACAAGCAGCTTTTATAATATGGTTGTAGGGGTTGAGACAGAGAATGGAAATGCTGTGAGAAAACATGAAATCCTTTTTCTGGGATATTTTCAAACTTGAGTGTTTGGTTTGGTTATTTCTTTTTCTTTCTGAGAATAAACAACACCTAAGGAGTAAAAGATTGCCTCACACAGAACAACAAAAACAATCACAAACTCCACAGCCAGTTCCCTGCCTGGGAGTGCCATCCCAAGCCCAGAGCAGCAGGGGATGCTCTAGGCTCAGTGCAGCCCACAGGGCTTTCTCCACAGGAGGTAATATTCCTGTACATTATTTGTAGGACACTAATATTGGAGTATTTTGTTTACTTTTGATGACCACACTTTGTACAGTCTGCTGAAAATCTGGAGAAGGGGTGTAAAAAAACTTCAGCTCCTACTTGGGAACTGGAGAAAGTGCCATAAAATGATCAGACTCTAAGGAGCCAATCTGTTCAGCTTCTAAAAAAATATTCAAGGTTGGAATACAGATGTACAATCAAGAGAGGAAAACAGCAGGTGCCAAAGGACTCTTTGTCTTGTGGATAAAAATAACAAAGCTGGAATCTGTAACCAGACCAAAAATCAAACTAGAAAGAAGGCATTTATACCTTTAACTCAGATATTAACTACTGCAAGAGATTTACAGTGGGAAGCAATGGATTTTCCATATTTTTCTGATCTAAGTCAGAAGTGGGTGCTTTTCTTCATGTTAGTTCAAGAAACAGCTACTTTCCAGTTAAACAGAATTTCCTGGGTTTGAGCAATGAAATGGGACTTGAAGACAATGATAAGAAATGGCAACCTGAACCCTGTGCCTTTGGGAAGACACTGTGTTCTGTGTTTCATAAGGCTACTGTGTAAGCAGACAGGCCAATGAGAATGGCTCTTGGATGTTTATGAATTTAGCAGAATTTAGGACTCTGCTATAGGAAAAGTTTCCTGGGTGCCTCTGAGGAACAAGCGCAGCTAACACAGGAAAGACATGACTGCACCCGGAGTTCAAGGACTGTCTCCTAGTACAGGTCCATGCTGGCCTCTGGCATGGACGAGAAAGAAACAGAATGTCACTGGGATCTCAGCCTGCTGAGACTTTTCCACAGATTTCGATATAAGCACTCCACAAGTTCAGTCAGGCTGCAGGGTAAGAGAGTGATGGGAGAGAAAGACAGGAACCGTTTAATCTCAGCTTGCTCATTACCTGGGATAACTGCTGGATCTTGGCAGGCTCACAGGCCAAGGAGCTGAATGGCTGCTGGTGAGGGCTCAGTGGCTGTGGCAGGGGAAGCAGCACACTGTGTTCCTCCTCACAAAAAGCAGACACTTCTTGCTCTTCTCTGCTGCCATTCCATGCAGGGGCTTTCTAAGCAGACTTTCACATCCAATGTTGAAAGCAGAATTAATCATGCAGCCTTTTTCCTTGCAAAGAGAAGAGAAAAAAAAGTCTAGCAGCAGTAAAAGCCTCAAAGAAATCACATTTAAAGACAAAAGAGGCTGAAGTCACCTGGGCTGAAGGCCAGAGCTATGTGCTCCCTCTGTACTTTTTCAAATCCTTCACTGTAGATTTCTTTCAAATTCTCCACAGCCACAGAGTAATAGGAGATCAATTCTTCAGGTCTGCCAAGAGATTGCTTAGGGGTCACTTGAGAGCCTAAACAATTTGGTGAAGATAAACACCACCAACCCAATATGCTTTTTATCAACACTAATTATATTCCCTCCATCCAGAGTGACAAGATGTAATGGAATCTGCTGATGAAAACCAAAATAAAACTGGAACCAATTACTGTAAAAAAGTATGTCGTGAGAGAAGGACTTCAGAATGTTGCCCAAAGGTAAGACATTACTAGTTATGCCCTTCAAGTTTTGCCAATATTCAGAGCTTTGAAGCTTGTGTTTCTTTAGAAGAATATTAGATGATGATATATGAAGCATTTCTTTAATGGCATACAGTTCCCTGTCCCAAAATGCTCCTTTTAAGCAACGTGCAATTTCTTCATTCAAAGTCTGACAGCAGTCACAGCTTGGTGCTCTTCATCTTCTCACAGGGCCACACTTCCCCTCCTTCTCCAGCCATCTTAAAAACCACAAATGCAGCTTGGTTATCTAAAAGGAATTAGTTTCTAGCTTTGGATTTTGGCAAGTCTTTACAGATGTTGTCACTAGTGATGTCCATTTCCAAACTGTGCCCACACACTGCTGGTGTAGAACCATTCCTACACTCAGAGTAAGGTTCTGACTTTCTCCTGCACACTGTTGCATGCTGGCCCAGCTCAACTAGCAGAAGCAAGCTGCATTTAATGAGGAATAAATAGGCCCTTGCCAAGTAATGCTCATAAGTGATCTTTTGAAGCAAATCTAGGGAACAACAAATGTCATGGCCTGCACTGATTTCAGGTGATTAAATACTTGACTTTTACTGAGACACTGATGTTTATAAGGAATTATAAAAGAGTATTTTTCAGGCTACATCAGTATGACATTTCAGGACCCTGTTCTCTCGTTATGGAAATTCACAATAACAGTTGTTAATCAGTTCTGTAACTTCAGTCATAAGCTAAACTTCAGCAACCTTGCCCTGGTTATACCTGAAACAAATGGAATTATTGAAATAACTTTAAACCATATTATGGATTATAATTTTGTTGTACCATTAATTCAAATCCAAGTACTTAATTATACCTTCTTTCATGTGGTTATCTGTATTTATATTTTTTGTTATTAGCTTTCTTGGCAGAGATGAAAGCAGGAAGCATAACACAGGAAAAGAAAGCATTTTTGTATTTTCACATTGGCTTGCCTTTGACACAAATCCCCCACTCCATCAAGACCTTGACTTATGATCCACAGAAAAGAAATCATGTACATTACTGAGTATTCCTCTGAACAGAATGAGATGCTGAAGTGGAGCTTGTGTTTTTTTGTAGTCACCTTATTGTCATTTGCAGATGATAAAAGGAACCTGCATTCATCTGGGAGTGTTACATCCTGAAAACCAACAGGTACTTCTTCCAGTACTTGGGTATAGTGCACATCAATAGTGATCAAAATAACAACCCTTTATTCATAGATCTCCTTAGCTGAAAAAAACCAAAAATCCTATCAAACATATTACAATTAATTTTCTTTCTTTTTTTCCTCAGAGATTTCCTGCACCCATTCAGAGTAGGACCTGGGATATCCAGCACCCCCATTTGCACGAAAGAATACCACTGGGAGGAATTGACTATCTCACACAACATGGTGGAGTGACCCCATGGCCTGACACAACACTGTGGAGTGACCGCACAGCTTGCCGTAAAATGGCGGAGTAATCCATGCTCTGCCACAAAATGGCGGCGTGACCCCATGGCCCAATACAAAATGGAGGAGGGAGTGACCCACAGCCTGACACAAAATGGCGGAGGGAGTGACCCACAGCC